TCGGGGTTCAGACACACTCTCTCTGTTTAAATCTAGATTAAAGGCACATCTCTTTGGCCAAGCATTCAAATAATGCATCTCATAATCTTGTACTGCAGTTATATCTGATCAAATGCACATTATTATTCTTTAGTTTGGGTTAAACAAATCAATTTTGCTTGGTTGGAACAGCAGCAACGCTAATTATGTCTCTATTTGTTTCTCTGTTTTTGCCTGCGATTGACATCCAGTGGTAACTAGGATTTACACAAGCTTCAGTCTGGATCCAGAACACCTGAGAAGAGATGATGCAACCCCTCAGAGGACCTCAGATGATGTCAACCCTGAAACAACATACAGAACTACCACATTTTGCTATAAGTTTGATGCATCATATAATAATTGCTGTTAATAGTGTTCATCGTCCGTTTGATTACGTCTTTAATTAATTTTTCCGTACATTTCTGCCATATGTACATTAACATATTGTACATGGAATTAGTGCTCTGCATTTAAACCATCCAAAGTGCACACACACACAGCAGTGAACACACACACCGTGAACACACACCCGGAGCAGTGGGCAGCCATTTAGGGGAGCAGTTGGGGGTTCGGTGCCTTCGGGGTTCGGTGCCTTACTCAAGGACACCTCAGTCGTGGTATTGAAGGTGGGAGAGAGTGCTGTACATTCACTCCCCCCACCTACAATCCCAGTCGGTACGAGACTCGAACCCACAACCTTAGGGTTACGAGGGGTAACCATTTAACCATTAGGCCACAACTTCCCCATTTAAGCTTAATTTGCTGTAAAATTGCTTTGCAAATAATTGTATCATGAAAAGCGCTATACAAATAAACTTGAATTGAATTGAATTCTTTAGGGGCTTTTGCACCAGGGGAACCTTTTCATAGTTCCTAGAACTAATGATGGAAGTTCCCGCTTTTAGGCATGTTCACACCGAAGGAACTAGGAACTAAATTAGCTCCTACTTCAGAGTGGGGTCTAAAACAGTTCCATAGGAACTATCAGTGACGTAAAAGTATGCTGATTGGCCAAACGCATACGAAACACTGGCTACGCAGCATTTTTTAAAAGCAGAGTAAAAATATTTACTCCACGAACATGGGAAAAAACAGTAATAATGGCATTTAGCTACCTGTTGTCTGCAGCATTGTTCTTTTCTCATCCTCGGTGATAACACTGCAAGTTGTCAAAGGAGATTAAATCACATTTTCGTGCTCTTTTATTCACGTAAATTGTGTGTTTACATTCCATTATGAAACCCACAACACTCAACAGAAACAGCTCCGATCATGGCATCCTCCATTCACCGGTTGTTGATGTTTGTAAATACAGAGAATAAAAGATGTCGCTGCCGGCCTCTTCAGAGTTTCTACTGGGAGCTGTTCACGACCTTGGACTTGGACACGGAACTATCGCTATCAATCCCTGCGTTCCATTCGGAAGGGCTCATCCCTATTCCCTAATCCCTTCAAAGGGTTTACCCTCTGGAGTGAGGGCTTTGAAGGGTGTAGGAGACCAAACAAATGTTTCTTGAAGTGCCCTTCTGCGTCATCATCATAATGTGCCCACACAGAGGCGCCGTCATCCTGCGCAAAGGATCATGGGAGCCCGAAGTGTCCATCAGTTGTACCCTTCGAAATCTTTCATTCAGAAAGGCCCTTTGAAGCAGCCAGTTTTGAGCACTTCGGTTTGGAACGACCCTTATGATATAGTGCCCTTCAGAGGGCGATATATCCCGTTTGAAATGCACTGAAAGCCTAAACATAGCACCTAATGGATCTGAGGTGGTCAGGTGATACAGGTCGTAGCTCTCAGAAAACTCCAAGTTCATAAGTTGTAATTACAAGTTCTACAAGGACGCTTTTTACACGGTAATTACGATATGGCGTGAACACACCTTAAGTTCTTAGAACTATGCGGTGCGAAAGTTATTTTTATTGGCATCAATAGTTCCATGAAGAACCTTTAACATCCATGGAACCTTTCACAATTGCACAAAAGGTTCTTTATACTACAAAAATGGTTCTTTGAATGATTAAAATATTCTTCATACTAAGAAAATAAATGGTTACACTTAAAAAATAAAGGGAATTTTTGCAGTGATGCCATAGAGCAGGGGTGTCCAAACTCAGTCCTGGAGGGCCGGTGTCCTGCAGAGTTTAGCTTAAACTTGCCTCAACACACCTGCCGAGACGTTTCAAGCATGCCTAGTATAACCTTGATTAGGTGGTTCAGGTGTGTTTAATTGGGGTTGGAGCTAAACTCTGCAGGATAGTGGCCCTCCAGGACCGAGTTTGGACACCCCTGCCATAGAGGCACCATTTTTAGTTCCCCAAAGAACCTTTCAGTGAACAGTTTTTAAAAGAACCATTTTTTTCTTAGTGTGAAAAACATTTTAATAATCAGAAGAATATTTTCCACTATAAAGAATCTTTTGTGGATTGAATAGGTTCCAATGATGTTACAGATTTTTCATGGAACCATCAATGCCAATAAAGAAGCTTTAGTTTTAAGACTATATTTTAGGAACGGATCAATGAAAGGTTCTTTGGGGAACCCAGAATGGTTCTTCTATGGCATCACTGTGAAAACCCCCAACAAGAACATTCAGCAAACAAAAACAACGAAAAGGTGTCAAACTGAGTGACTACGATGTGTTGTAGACAGACAGGCAGAGCACAGATTTAGTCCTTACCAGAAAGTCTTTAATCCATAACACACTGGCAAACAGAACAGGAGACAAAAACCAACACTAACGAGAATGAGACCGGACAAAGAACACAGAAGGAAGAACTTAAGTACTGATACAAACAGGGTACATTAACAAGACACAGCTGAACTAAACAACTAATCATATCAGTAACTATGACAACCAATGACAAACGGGAAAACCAAAGGAATACAGGAAATGATAAAAATAAGTCCATTAAACAGAAACTAACTGAACATATCCGTAACAGACTCCATATTGCCATATTTTATTAACTACCGTTACTGAGCAAAAAAACAAAACATTAATTTTAAAACAAATCTTTGGTGTGCAAACTACTTGAGAACAATAAGCTTGAGCACAGTCAATTCTTCACGTTCAATTCTGTCTGCAGCATGATTGGATGTATGTTCATGATTTCCTTCAGCATCATGACTGTTAGAGTGGGAAATGGGATTTGGTGGATGCTGTGGAAGTGTGTGAAGAAGACCGTGAGCTTGTATTTAGGTGAATTTCTTGATGAAGCGCAGCTTGAGGTAAGCGATGATGAGGAAGATGAGGGTCATGATTCCCAGAGCCAAATGATTCTGCCACAAACCCCAGGTTGAGTAATCGATGCCCTGTTCGCTCAGAAAGTCCTCACCTGTCGAACAACTGCAATGGGAAAAGATGAGAACATTAGAGTAGTTTTGCATCATTGCTTGCTGGTTTTCTACACTGAAATATCTTGTTGAATGAGCTCATTTTGGCACTAAAATGAGTGATACATGAAAATGCAATGGAGCAGCTGTAGTTTAAATTGATGGAAGGATCCTATTAGCGGTGGAATTTGATTGATGAGCTGTTTTAATTGCGATGCATTAGTGAAGCAGTATTTAAGCAGTCGTTGTGGCTGGAGCGGCAGCCCTCGTGTGAAGACCAGCGACTCAACCTGTGTGACTCCATCGAGCAAAGGCACGGCACACTACACCTCTGTAAGTCTGCTTATTCCACCATTATATCCTCATTCAGTCATGCTTCCTTAGTAAGTCATAAGGGTCAATTTCTCGAAATTGAGATTTACACATCATCTGAAAGCTGAATAAATAAGCTTTCATTGATGTATGGTTTGTTAGGATCGGACAATATTTGGTCGAGATACAACTATTTGAAAATCTGGAATCTGAGGGTGCTAAAAAATCTAAATATTGAGAAAATCGCCTTTAAAGTTGTCCAAATTAAGTTCTTAGCAATGCATATTACTAATCAAACATTAAGTTTTGATATATCTACAGTAGGAAATTTACAAAATATCTTTGTCTTTATTGGCATAAAAGAAAAATTGATCATTTTGACCCATACAATGTATTGTTGGCTATTGCTACAAATATACCCCAGCGACTTAACACTGCTTTTGTGCTCCAGAGTCACATATCAGTGTGTTGCAGGAACATGATTCTTCATGCAGCACTTCTGACAATGCTCTACACTGATAATCTCCCACAAACAACAATGCAAGTGTTCCTTTGCTGCTTCTACATCTTATTTACACAGATTTTCTATATTTGCATATCCATTTCACAAAAATGAAATTGTTGGTTACTAATAGCATTTCATTAGATAACAATGGTTAATGCATAAGCAAAACATTTCTTCCAATATTTATGCATCTCTGTTACTGCTACTTAATAAAAATTCATCAAATGTTTATTGTTCATGTTAGCGCAGGTTCATCAAACAGCATAAACCAAAACAACAATTCATTTTAAAATTGTATTACTAAAGGCCTTTTATTAATCCCTTGCTGTGTGGAGCATTTTTTTATGATGGATGGATGCACTTTTCTGGACTTCAAAATCTCAACACCCATTCACTGCCATTATAAAGCTTGGACGAGCCAGGGCATTTTAATATAACTCCAACTTAATACCCACAGCCTTATCACCCCGCAGCCCAAAACTGGTTGCCCACTGAAGCTAAGCAGGGTTGAGCCTGGTCAGTACCTGGACGGGAGACCTCCTGGGAAAACTAGGTTGCTGTTGGAAGAGGTGTTAGTGAGGCCAGCAGGGGGTGCTCACCCTGCAGTCTGTGTGGGTCCTAACACCCCAGTATAGTGATGGGGACACTATACTGTCAATAAGCACCGTCTTTCGGATGAGCCGTTAAACCGAGGTCCTGACGCTCTGTGGTCATTAAAAATCCCATGGCACTCATCGTAAAGAGTAGGGGTGAAACCCCGGTGTCCTGGCCAAATTCCCTCCACTGGCCCTTGTCAATCATTGCCTCCTAATAATCCCCATCCACTTGATTGACTCAATGATTCTCTCTCCTCTCCACCTGTAGCTGGTGTGTGGTGAGCGCACTGGCGCCGTTGCATCATCCAAGTGGATGCTGCACACTGGTGGTGGTTGAGGAGAGACCCCCCCCCCCCACACACACACATGATTGTAAAGCGCTTTCGGTGTATAGCAATACACAAGAAAGCGCTATATAAATGCATCATTCATTCATTCATTCGTATGGGGGGGGAAAAGGTCATATACACCTAGGATGGCTTGAGGGTGAGTAAATCATGGGGTAATTTTCATTTTAGTGTGAACTATCCCTTTAACAAATGTAAACTTATTGTAAAGTGTTGCCATTTCATTTATTTCAAGCAACACATTTTATTTCATTAACATTTCTTTCATTTCAAGTAAAACATGTTTTTGATTATTTTACTTTCAGTTAACTAATTGTTAACTAGTCTCGTGCAGTTTCATACTCACACTTCTACTAAAGTGCTGCTGATGTTCCTCATGTCACAGAAATTCAGGCCGGTGAACTCATTGATTTCCAAAGCCTGCAAAAACATGCATCATCCACAAATAAACACTTTTTCTGTTCTGCATTTAATAACACACAGCACGCTTAATTCTGATTAAGTATCAAGTTTATTATACTTCACTAAAACCATAAACACTAAACATGAACCGTTACAAATTACAAAATTCAGCTACTTGCTATCTATCAGTTCACTTGTTCAAGAAACTTTGCATTAATTATAAGTGAACTTCAGGAGAAGATCATGCTACAGCAAAACATTCAGACTCACAGCGAGACCATAACGAGGAATACTGAAATACTTCAGCCAGTTCAACCAGTCAGCGACACTGGGGAGATTCACCAGCAGCCCCGAGAAGATCTGAACACATGCACACATAGGAGTAAATATCACACACAAGACTAAACATAAATATCAACATAACATGCATTTTATGAACTGGATCAGCTCAGACATCTCATTTCAAACATCTAGACCCATATAAACCACTACACAATACAACTGTCCTTTATTGCTATAATTACACAATTATTTGCATATATTTATATACAAGTATACATATCAATATACATATTTATTTATATATAAATGCCTATAACAAATTACTTGTATATCTTTATATGCAGTATATATATTCCTAATCAAGTCCAATCAGTATAATCAAACACAGCTGGACTCAAATGAAGGTGTAGAACCATCTCAAGGATGATCAGAAGAAATGGACAGCACCTGAGTTAAATATATGAGTGTCACAGCTCTTTCCGTACCCACTGTATGTTTATATATTTATAATGAATGTAAATATTCACTATTACTTTTTAAACAATTAATGATTTTTATTTTTATTTAAACAATTATCACGATTATTTTCTTGTTTTAATTAAATTATTGCAACTAACTTTGAAAATAACAAAAAAAAAAAACTCTTCACTCTTCAGTTTTCAGTTTATTTCACACTATTCTACATTATGTTGGTTGGGGAGAGATTAAAACTATAACAACCGTTAAACTAATTACATTCATTATTGCAAACAGTCTTAAAACCCCTTAACCATGGTACATTCACAGCCTCATGAGGCAGCTTTATTTGTGCTTGAATGTGTGTGTGTGTGTGTGTGTGTTTCTTTACCATCATAAAGACAAAGCTGATGGTCATGAAGATGTTAGCGATGGCCAACACCGTCTGATCAGCGGAGATGGCCAGAGTCATGGACGTGGCTGTGTACGACACCAGAACGATGGAGAACATGAAGATGAAGAAGGCCTCGACCGTTGACTTCAGACCTGCACAGGAAACACTAACACGTCAGACTGCATGTTTCATATCAGACAATCATGAGCGATGGCAATGTGTGTCTGACCGATCATCCAGTACACCACGCAGCTGAAGATGATGGCCGGGATGGTGCGCAGAGTCAGGACGTCAGACAGGATCTTAGACAAGAAGTACACCGAGACTCTGTAGTATCCGCTGATGTACTCGTGCCTGAGGACACGCCCACCATAACAACATCATCAATCAATCAACATTGTAACTGCACAGAAAACACAACGGGCCAGATTTATGAAATATTCTTAGGAATAAACGTATTCTTAGCTGGTATTTTCTTATTTTCCTACATTTTGCATTCCCAAAAATGTTTGTTAACACAAAACCTGAGAAGAATTTAAACGATTGAAAATAATCTCTAAAAATCATCAATTTTATGTTTTGTTTTCTGTTTTTTTACTTCAGAATCTACTATCAGAATAGTTCGAAACTTGGTAAAGGTTTTGGCACTTGCTATGTGAAAACAAAAAAAAATAATGGACGCGATTCAAAAAGGTTAAATGGTGCTGGAAAAATCACACTTGTACTCCTCTTGGTCAGAAATGATACTGAATAAAATTTGTGCCCAAACGAAATCTTACTGAAAGCTTTTTCTTTTTCTTTTTTTTGTGATATCAACCTCAAATCTGGAGAACTACTTGTTTAGATTTATAGCTTTAATTTTCTCACAGGTTTAGAGTAAAACATCTTTTTGAAAATATATATTTCATAAAAAGAAAAAAAATCGTATTTTTGTTTATTTTTCAAAACGATTAACTTCCAAAAAGTTTTAATTACACTTTTTTTTTTAATGAAATTAGTGGCTCAGATCGGATGCAAAAAAAAGGATTTTGTGATGTCTACAATAAACAATGTATTTCATTGTGCTGTTGTACATTCAGTCCTCACGCAGATGTTCAAGAACCATTAATGAAACCAAACACCATGAAAATCATTCAGTTTTCTTTTAAAGGAAGAACGGCTCTCAATACTTCACGAGCTGAACACCTAGACTCAAAAACCTGGGGTCGATTCCTGCGGCGCAAAGAGATTTACATCTGCCTTGCTGAAAAGACTACAAATCTGAGCCACAAGTTCAGTGCCCCTGGGATGTGAACTGCTTTCAGCAAAAGAAACTTGTCCTGAGCCCAAAGGAGGGAGCGTGCATGCCTATCCAGGGTGCATGACCGCGAACCTCCTTGGTGGTTTAAGTGAGACACCGCCATGTTGCCCATCCTGATGATTACATGACAACCCGTCAGCACCGGAAGGAAATTATCCAAGGCCATGAAGACGGCTCGAAGCTCCAAGCTGTTATGCGTCACAAGAGAAACTCCCCTGTCCAGACACCGCAAGCCAGTCTGCCCTCAAAGACCGTGCCCCAACCAGTCAAGGAGGCATCTATTGTATTCACTTGGCGATGGCAAACTGCACCCATCCTGACCCCCTGCAACAGGAAGCGAGGGTTCCACTACATCGAGAGGCCTCAAAATCAACTGCATGACTCGCTCAGTAGGTGGCGGGTCGACCACGAGGAGCAAACTCCTTTGAGCTTCATCCACCACAGAAACAGCCTCATATGAAACAGCCCTAGGGATAGTACAGGAGAAGGCACTATCGTCGCTCGCACTAAAGCGAGAGCATGGCGGCTGGCAGTGATGGAGATCGATTGCACTTCACCACGAGGAGAAAAAAGGTTGAATTTTCTAGAAAGCACGGACCAGATAAACTGCTTCTAAAGGACAGCACACCCAAGGGGCATTGTCATTATGTCATAGCTACACACTGTTGAGTGAACCTATAAAAGAGAACTTTAAAAGAAAAAAAGAAAATCTAAATAAATCGCATCTAAATAAAACACAAAAAAAAAATATTTTACTTGTTTACCTGCAAGTCATGATACCATTATTACATTTCACTAAAACTAAAATCATTAACAAAGTTACTTGAAATAAATTACAGTACCTGAAATAAAATTAAATTAGGGGTGTAACGAGACATGTATTCGTATTGAACTGTTCGGTACGAGGCTTTCGGTTCGGTACACATTACAAACCGAACGATTCGTTGGACTAATCCTATTACATTTGGAAAATAAAAGAGCTTAAAGTGTGTGAAATATAATTTTCTCAGTGCCACTGCGCTTAGGGCTGCATCGAAAGACGATGATCTTGTATTGGCGATAGCCAGAGATATTATCAAAAACATCAATTATTGGCAATATTAAGAGGATTTGGCATTTCCAATTAATGTAGGCCGGTTAGATTCTTATTTTATTAGGCCTATTATTATTATGAATTTAGTTTTATTATTAAATTAAGATTACAATTAATTTGCCCCCCAATAATTACTACATAACTGATGCGCTGCGAGGATATCGCAACCTGGAGCTTAACACACTCAAAACTGTGGAGATGACCGTGGACTTCAGGAGGAACCCCCTGCACTCCCCCACTCACCATCATGGACAGCACTGTGACTGCAGTGGAGTCATTCAGGTTCCTGGGCACCACAATCTCTCAGGACCTGAAGTGGGACAATCACTATAGGGCCTTTCGCACTGCTTTAGTTCCAGAACTAAATGTACAGTACTAAAGTACTGGGACGATTTTGCGCGAACTATTTCCCAGTACCATTTAAAGGGTTGCATTCACACCGACAGTGTGTACTAAGAAGTGACGTAAGCCGGTCGACAGCGACGTAATTTGTGCGCGGCGTTCAACAACAGAAACAAAGAAGAACAACGTTAACAACAGGAGGATGGAGGACGCTGTGATCGGAGCTGTGTTTTTGTTGTGTGTCGTGGGTTTCACAATAATGGACATGGAAAGTCGACGTATACGTAAAGCGATTGAAAGAACAGAAAGGAGGACTAGAATCTCCAACAATAACCGGCAGTGCTACATTTGCAACAAGTGCCTGCACTTCAGCGTCCGTCCATCTATCGCTGTTCTCCATACTTGCGAAATAAGTTAACACAATGTTTCCAGTATGTCTACACTGCGTTTTAAATCATGGCGGGTGAGGGCGTTTTCGTACGCGTTTGGCCAATCAATGTCGACTTACGTCACGATTAGTACCAGTTGTGCCGGTTAGACACAGAATTTGGTTCTCTTATTTTTATTAAATTTTTTATTTTTTTAATTTTATTTGCACATTGCTTGTGTGGTATCCATTAGCTCGCCTTCATGGTTTAAAACAGAAATATTTCCGACATTGCGACGTAACCAATTACCCCACCCCCCGTATCGAAAACGTACCGAACCGTGACACCACTCTGTCGTATTGAACCGTTACACCCCTAAATAAAATATTATTTATTATTTCAGTTGCCAAGGCAACATTTGCCATTTTCATTTAGTTTAAGTTGCTGGACAAAACTAAGAAACTAAAAATGAAATAAAAACATATTTAAAAAAAATCTAAGTTGACAAAAATACAAATATAAAAACAAATTCAAAATAATTATAAAAACTACTAGTATCTCAATGATACTAAAATAACATTACGTTGTGTGTTGTTAAATTATTAAAATATTACCTCAAAATCTCAGAGGGACTTCAGTTAAACATTTCAGCTCAAAGACTGATAGAAACATATGTGAATGCCTGATGTAGACGGTGGTGCTGACCTGAGCGAATGAGGTCTGTGGGTTCAGCATGAGGTTCTTGAAGGTTCTCCTGAGGACCCAGTTGAACTGGTGGCAGAAGGACGTGCTGTAGGTGATGGTTCTGGATTTGGGTCGTGTGCTGTAGTCCTGTCCCTGAACGATTCGCTCCAGCTCGCTTTTGGTTTGTTTGTAGCTGGAGCTGTTCTTGTATTCTTCCACCAAACGGTCCTCGATGCCCTTCAGAGACGAACTCAGCTGCTCCTCGTCCAGTTCTGACACACGCAAACACATTTATAATCAGTCACACAAACACAAACCACTAACATACTCATCTCAGTCAGTGATGATATCATTAACTAATAACATTCCTATTAAAGCTGAACTAAATTCTGAATGTTAGATGACCATTATGTAACTTCTAAATAGATTTAACTCATTTTAAAGCTGAAATAATTCCAACTATTAGTTTCAGTCATAGATGTTAACTAAAATGAGAACTAAAACGGAAAAAAAAGCCCTAAAACTAAAAATTAAAAAATTTACAGGTCTTTTAAATTTTAAAATGTCATGACTATATTTAGTCACAATTACCATGACTGGAGTTATGCCCATGAAATAATTGATAAATATTTAATTTGTATGGATATAAACCCACCAATGTAACATAAACATAATAATAAAAATAATTTAAAAAATGAAAATAAAAAATAATAATAAAAATAATGTTAAAATATAAAATTACAGTTTATCTTAAAAAATAATGATGATAATAACTTATTAAAAATACAAAAACACTCATAAAATAATTAAAATAAAATAATAATAAAAATAAAATACATTTTAAAATGAAAATTAATATAATGAATTATAATTAAAAAATAAAATAAAAAATCAGGCAGTTGTTGAGCAAAGATAGCTGCAAATTGGCCTTTATATTGAGAAAACAATCACATAGAAAAGAAACTGCTGTACCCTCACTGTTGTTTAACTTGTTGAGAGCGACGGCGGTGGATTCTCCATTGATGACATCCAGGAAGAAATCAGCAGGATTGTTATGAGGTTCACAGGTGTATCCTGATACACACACACACACACACACACATCAGTATCAGGACGTGAGGGTCTGTTCATGTGTGTATATGTTTTCATACCGATCTGACTGAAGTAGTCCAGGGCGTCTTGAGCCAGGCCGTGATACACCATCCTTCCTCCCACCAGCAGCGTGAGGCTGTCGAACAGCCGGTAGATGGAGTACCGCGGCTGATGGATGGACAGGATGATGGTGCGACCGCTGTTCGCCATTCTGAACAAACACACAGGTTAAACACATGGGACAGTTAAAACAGCACTGTGGTTAAATGTCACAACAATGTCAGAGTCATATTTCATCCCAAAAGCTTTTTTTCATTATTTATAAAATAAAAAAAAATAAAAAATACAAATAGTAATTTTGTTTAGAAAATAAAAATGATACATTTAACAACACATTTATATAAAGGTATTATCAAATTT